CTATGATCTCCAATAATTACCTAGTTTTCAAAAAAAATTTCTAAGCTCTTTTTTTTTACTTTATCCCTATTATTCTAGATTTCTGTGTGTTACAATGGGTAACATGATTTAAATCATAATAAATATGGTAAATAAATAAATCTTAAATATATTTTTCCAAAATGTAAAATGACACATCACTGAATGCAAATATATTTCGGGATAAAAAATTATAGGTATATATCCAAACATATGAGAAACTTGACATCTGTTTGGGACTTGAACTTTTCAAAGAATTTTAACTTCTGTGAATCTAAGTTAGATGTATATGGTATTCTTGCAATTCATCCTGGTTCATTAACAGCTATAGGTTAGTTTTATTCAATAAAAAAATTGGTATACAAGGAATGTTTCAAGAAATCTTGATTTCTTCTAAAATGTCAATTGCTTACATTCTTTCATAAAGTGCAAATAACATCCAGTATGAAAACTCTGACTCTATGTGGCAACTAATGATCTCCTCCATTATCAGGGAGACTAATGCTCAGGATTGTCATCTTTAAAGCTTAGAGTTGGGGTGGGGTTCAAGCTAAATAATGACATTTAACAAATTAAAACATTTCTGTATTAAACATACACTGCACACAACATTCCATATGTAAGTATCACTTGTTTTCCTGTAAAGTTTTGCAAATAACCAATGTATGCATTTATAGGGAACACATCATCGCAAGCCATGGGTTCCTCGCAAGCCATGGGTTTTGTGTACATTCTATTTCCACAAACCCATGGTGTAAACTACAAAATTCTCTCATACTTGCAACTGAATCAACGAATATTCATTAAATTTTGCAAGTTTTATCTTGACCAATGAAATCACTCTGTGGCAGTTTTGGGTGTTAACATCGCGGCACCCATAATGAAATCATGTTTGCTATGGGTGGTAGATTTATTGATATAAATATGATAGATCCTGAAGAATAGAGTTAAATAAAATATATTCTAAAATACCTATGAAACTTAACATTAAAAGACAGGGTTTTGAATTCAAGGAAATTTGAATCAAGTTGATGTATGACTCACGGTTATGATTACATCCAAATATAAGATAGACCCATCATTTTCATTGGAAAAGTTTCTGAACTGAAGTGTCAGATTGTTATTCCATTGTTGAATGAGAATCATTAATATTTAGGAGAACCAGAGAGTTTTGTAGTAGGCAGCCACACGTTTATTAAGGAAATCAACAATTGTTTTCCCACCCATTGGGAATGGTTCTGGTATCAATTCAATTGGGAAAAAAAGCATTTTAATAAAACTAAGGTGAATTTTCTGTCATATCAACAAATGACATCTATTTTACATTTATTCTAAATCTCATTAACTATTATTCCACATTTTTAAAGAATAAACAAAAAGTATTCATTGTCTTACTCATTAATTTCTCCATCTTCACTAGCCAAGGGTTTCCCATCCAAATCTACAACCCTTGGCTAGCGAAGATGTAATTTTCACATTTTCATGCTTTCAAGTTGTCAATAATGTCAGACACTAGGCTGTCTACAACATGCATCCCGCCATATTACAAACAACCTCTTCTTTCAATTGATGAGGAAGTGAAAAAATTAATCAACTTGTACAGCATTTCCATGATGTCATCACAGTTTTTTCCTAATGGTTAAATTTGGAATTTTAAGTCTAAAAATTGGGAAAAATTAACTTTTTTGGCATTGCATGGGAAATGTACCGTTTTATTCTCTATTGAGAAGTTGATGGCTCGTTTTAATACTCCCCTTGAATTAAAATGAGCCATCAACTTCTCAACAGATAGTTTTCATATGACGTATTTTCTCTCCGAGTTATTTCCCTTGGCTGCCATCTTGGTGGTCAACCTGGTAATTTTTCCTCTCTGTCTTACCAAATCTAAGAGGGTGTAGCAGTAATATTTGGGGGAAAATCTTTATAGAATAAAAATAATGAAATAAAGGAGGCTTTAACAAATGTATATTTTTCAGAAAAACAATGCTTCCTACCCCAAAATGGCTAGTATAAAAAGTTGAAGTTGGTTGAATAATGAAGGAATATAAGCATGTTGACCTCCAATATGGCGGTCAGCTGGAAATAACTCTTGCTAATTTGGGCCTACTGAAAACTATCTATAGAAAATAGGTTCCGTTTATCAGTACAAGTTATATAATAGAGGGGAAAAATGCTGGAAATGGAATGGACACAAAACCCATGGCTTGCCACTATGAGGGTAACAAATCTATATAAACACTACAATACATATACAGGGAAAATTTCCCTCAAAAATAGAGTATTCTTTGGGGGTTGTTCATCAGAGAATATTAATTAAGGGAGTTGCAGGAACAACCTAGTGATAATTACCAGGGACCTACATACTAACAGGATAGGCAACTCCTTCAGCGCCATGTTTATTTACCCAAAACGGCACACACAACACTGCAAGTTTTTCAAATTACTTTTTCCCCCAGTAAAAAGCTTGTTTTCTGATTAATGTAATCTGTTCTTTTTGTGTATCGGAATGGATATTTAATAAATTTTAAAGCACATATTATAAAATAATTTAGATATTAAGTAAACAACCACCAAAATCGACGATTTCTCGGAAATACGGCCGATCAGGGGCACGCACTGATCTTTAAATAAACATAATTACTTCTAAGGTAAGGACTAAAAACGGTGCTTATAACAAATCTTGAATAATTTTTTGACAGATAAATTAAGATTTTATTCTGAAATATTTGAAAGCAAAAGAGATGTATTTAATTAAAATTGACATACGAAATCCCGCGACTTACGAGGTATCGCAAGATTTGCCTATCCTGTTAGTATATAGGTCCCTGTAATTACCAAAATGAATTGCATGTATATAATTCATGCATTTCATGCAACGATTCAAAGTAAAAGTTTTGAAATTTTTTTTAAAGGATTGCAATTAAAATGGGCATACATAGTGCATATGTAGCATGCCGAAACTTAAATTTGGCATAAAATATTTTCACTATTTTATCAAGTACATGTAGGCCTAGAGGCAGAAATAAAGAAGGAATAAATGTAAACTTAACATTGAATACACTGCATTTAAAAATTCTTAAAAGTTCTAGAAAGTTTCATCACTGAAGCAACTTTCACACATACCACTGACTTCTTGCGTTCCCTCTGTTAAAATATCTTTGGTCAGATTCGACAATTGACCCGTGATAGACGTTAAACTTCCACCTAGCCATGACATTGTATCGTTAATATGGTGTAAAATTAATGGTAATCATGGCTCTTGCTACTATCTGCAACACATGATTGATAATTTTGTGTCAACTATGTTAAATATTGTGCTTCAAAGATCTGCCAACACGACGGTAGCCATTTTCTGCTCTTCTTCGTATGGAGATTCAAAAAAGGTGTTTTATGGAATCATGGGTAGTTTTACTTTCACTTTCACATTTTCCCTTACGACGAAATGTGTACTTTTTAGAGATCTAAATGTTAAATTCACACCAATATCTTAACAGATAATATCTTAACAGATATCAGAAGTACGTATCCTTTCACAACAAAGGTCATTATGACACCCTTTTCGAAATTAATTTAAACCTTCTTTTCAAGATGCTTCAACATCTTGGAATACATAACAGGCACTTGATTCGGTAGTATTTTTTTAACCCACAGTATAATAATATACAATGACCTAATGGGTTAAAAAAATTATTACTGAATCAAGTTCCAGTGGTACACATGCATGTGCTATATATCTCTAACATAACTATGAGGTGTACATTACATACTTTTATTGATAACACACTCTCACATTTAAGTTTTTCAAACATTTAGCCTAATTTTTTGAAGTTTAATTCTTCTTACAACTATGATTCCTTTGTAATTACATGTACTTAAATTCTTAAATCATCCATTTTTTTAAAATTACATCCTTTTACAATAGAGATTGAAAGCGCTCAAACAAAGGAATGAATATTGGTTGACAGGTTCTTGTGGTATGCCAAAATGTTAGTGCATGTAACTGCATCGATGGTCATAGGATACTGCATCGATGGTCATAGCATACTGTGGATTCGATGTTTTGCATTCATTAATAGACAAAGATGCCTTACTTAAAGGGGCCTGGACACAATTGCATTGTTTACTTTTTAAATTTCTGTTTATTCAAACATAAAACCAGTTTAAATGAATTGAACTTACATGAATATTCTTATAATTCAATGACAAATGACATTCTTCTTTACATCACTATCTGTATTTGTAAACAGGGCATGAGCTCTGTTATTGTTAATGTTTACATTTCACTGGGTGTGTTCAATTTGTTAAACTCTGCACATATCACTGAGCACTGATAATACATGCGAGTTGGTTTTGCTTTCTCTCATTTCTACTCTGAATTTTCTGGATTATACTTTTAATTTTTTTCAATGATACACAACAAAATTTCTACTTTTCTTAGGTATTAAGGATAAAGTCTACTTTGTAAAAGTGCAAGTATATTTGTCAATCAAACGCGTCCCGAAATTCCTAGTTTTAATAGTTTTCAGATAAAAGAAGTTTTCTTCTGAACATGCTTTTATTATATTTCCATTTGAAATGCTATGGCAAAATATAAGCAATGATATTATACAAAAAATTTGAGAAAATATTAACTTCAAATCTGTGCCCCAGCCCCTTAAAGTATGAAAAAGGTGAAGATAACGAATAGTGATCAAAAAATCTATAAACAATATAATTTTGTGAAGAGGGCATAAAACATGGACCGCTGCATATTCCAGAGGTGGGATCAGGTGCCTAGGAGGAGTAAGCATCCCCTGTTGACTGGTATCTGTTTTGCAAGGTAACAAACAGGCACATTGTTAACATAATTATGCTAAGTAAGACTGTGAGAAATATCACCTTTTAACTTCAACCTTCAGTTCAGGCAAACTCAAATCAAATGAAATTTAATTATTCGTTACAGTTAACTTGATCTCCTACTGAACAAATACCACAGAAACAAATCAATTTTATGTACTTTTAATTAATAATTTCATCAGTTGTTTCACAGAATATGTGTACACTTTTTTTCTCCACAATGGAAACCAGTGCAATTGATTTTTCAATAAACACCAGTAAAGAAAATAAAAATACCTTAAAATAAGAATATACTACATGGAAACTTTATCACAGTTTAATGTGACATGAACACACAGGGACATTTGATACAGCATTTGTGTACAATATAAAATTTTCATTATGTTCAAAATTTGGTTTATTACATGCAGCCCTGATGTCCAGCAGTTCCAAAAATTTCAAAATGATAAATCTTCATTGTACATTAACCTATAGATAGTGATATTCCTCAAATACATGTACATAATACAGTGTGCAACATGAAATATATCTGCAACAAATTTCAATAAATATTATTTTTGACAATACTGCAGAGTCTTAAAATTCTTTTTTTCTGGAAATTCATTAACAGATGATAACAATGTAAACCTTTTCACGTGCAAGATTTTTCTTACATTAAATATTACCTCCAACTGATTCACAGAACTCCCCTTAGAATAGCGCTACTATTAATAATGCATCTAGCTTATAATACATTGGTAAGAATATAGAATTTCATATCCAAGTATTATTTCAGAAATACTTAAGATGTACATGCTTTTCATAACAAACATCCCTGTGACACGTAAATAGAGACATCATTTAGACACTCAAGGTGCTTTTTCCACTAAAGATACTAATTATACACTCTGTTAGGTAATTAACAGAAAAGGATTATACATAGAGAGCATGATTACATATGGAGTGATTAACAATGACCAATTAATCATGACTGACTAGTTACTGTATATCTGAAAGGCCTGTTTAAATCAATAACAACACAGACATTATGCAAAAACAAGAAATAAGACACCATATCCAAGCAATATCATGATCATATAGCCAGCTATGAAGAAAACTAGAAACTTGAATATCCATGGAGGATGTTTCCTCATACAATGCAAATTTTTTGGGAGAATAAGTTTTTTTTTTCCTAATACTGTGTATAAAATACTGGAATTAAGATTTTTAAGCCATGTAAGTTAAGTCACAGTACCAAAACAGTTTGTGATTATTAATTAGTAAATTATAGTGACAACAGTTCTTAATTTCTACATGCAACAATTTCACAAGTCCAAAGTATTATATATGATTTCAAAAGTATAATATATGATTTCAAAATTATTATAAACGATTTCAAAATTATTATATATGATTTTAAAAACTAAGATGTTGATAGCTGTTTTCAGACTTGGATTTACATAAATTTCCATTTAATACACAAAATATCAGTATCAATTGTACTAATCTCAGGTTCCAATGTAAGCACTGCTTATAATAGTTTATCAAAATACAAAATAGATGTATGTTAAATAACCTAAAATGCATTTTCTCTTCCAAATATGGACGGTACACATGTATTAGTGTTTCTTTGTTCATAGGAAAAAGATAAGCCCAAAAAATATTAACAAAAATTGACTTTCTAGAGATTAATTTTTATATATCTTTCAAGAAAATTGGATTTCTTTTTCACATTGAATCTGACTAGAATTAATTTATGAACATATACAGAGCATGAAGTTGTGCAAAATTGGTTGACGACGCTTGAATACAACTGTCAACACTCCAAACTCCCTCAAAATTTAATTCCTAGCATACAAATATTAATTAACTACAACAGAATTTCTGGAATAGTGACCTTCTGTTAGCTATCATTGATTTTTTTTTTGAGGGGGGTTGAAAGGGGGGATGATGTTTTACTTAAAGATTCGATAGATGAAAATGAAATTCATGCAACTGTTGGTTTATAGTATATACTAATCAGATATATATTGAAAATTTTGAGACAAACGACTGTTAAAGATTAAGAATTCTATTTTTTTAAAAAAAATCCATGGTGATCGATCAGTGTTAGAGTTATGACTTTTGGGTGAGGGTCACTGCTCCTTAATGTGAGTTTTCCTTGTATACAGGAATATAAAATCATTTATTTTAAACTTGCAAGCATATTTTAACATACTATAAGATTAAAAAAAATCCTGTTAAAAATATGAACAAAGTAATTCTATGTACAGTTTTAACCATAGTACATTGTAACAAATAATGCAATCTATATTCTCTTCCTCAAAAAAAATGACAGAGTATTATTGCTGATGGTTCAAATTCCAAGGGAATTAAGGTAAGAAAGACAACTCAAAATCAATGTCAACAAAGAGGGCAAGAATTCATTGGAAGTTTGGCACAAAAATCAATCAATTTCAGGTGGTTTTATATAAGTACCACTGCAGCTTCATGAAAAGCAGGGTTTTTATTTAAATTAAATAGAATGTGTTTTTTATTTATTTTTATTTATTTATTTATTTTTTTTTTTGGATGTGGTTGTGTTTGTGTTCATTTTTTTGTGTTCCCTATAAATGGGAAAATATAATAATTCCATTAAGTTCTTTTCAATTCAATGTTTAAAATAAAATTTCTTATTTAGAAAGTAGAAAAATTTAATTACTCAAGACGACCTCATGCAAAATCAACAGAAGTCTTTAACCACATTTTTTCTAGTGAACAAAATACCCAGTAAATACTTGTACAACAAGACTTGAGGTATTAGTGTGCAAAAAATACTTTATATACCTTTACAAACAAGACAAAAAACCCTGGCATTCTACACAGACTTCTAATACAGGTAACTAATGACATAAAAAATCTAACTTCTAAAAATAAGCAAAATAAATAGAGGTGCAATCAGGATGGTCATGAAATTACTTGAAAGCAGCAGTCATAACTGAATTAATTCCCTTTAAATCAATTAAAAACTACATTTGAAAAGGCAAGAAAAGTTCATCACATGGAATTAATACAATATTTATATTACCTAATGCCCAGTAAATGTACAGTTTACCAACTTTTACAAGGAGATGAGAAAATAGACATTTATAATATATGATGGCAAATTCATTTTACCTGGTATATTATGGCCGTGGTAAGTAATGTGATATGTAACTGATAAAATGAATGACCTTGATGTAGGTGCAATGTATTTATCCACATTAAAATGCATTCTATAGATTTAAATTTCCCACAAAAACTGTAGATGAAAATACAGTAATGAAAAAACAATAAAATGGCATCACAAGCTTAAATTTTAAGAAAATCACTCCGAACATTATGAATTTACTGTATAAACAAAGTCATTAAATAGAGATTTACTGTGAACAATTTCACTATGCAAGAATTTATTTTAAACAAACTAATTCATCATTAACTTTAGAGACATCTGTCCTTATGGGGAACATTTCACCTTAATCAGTAATAAAGTTGAAATTTTGTCAAAAGTTCCTTTTATATATGTATATAAAAAAGTTTATAAATCTTGTGAAAATACTGACAGACCTATTTAAAAGATTCCATGAACATTGCATTAAAGTCTGTCAAAAATATAAGGGGCTCAGATACCTTTGTGCATTTTTTCTCACAAGTATAAACCAGAAACATTTTCCCTGGCAAGTAACAGAACTGGAATGACTGTATTTGTTCCCAAAATGCTGCAGAGAATAGTAAAAGTTGAAAAAAAATGGGACTAAAAAAATAATGAAATAATGAACAAAACAAAGTCTATGCAATTACCTTTAAAAGGTGTGAAAAATATTCCCCAGAAATGATGACTGCCTACTTGATTTAAAAATTACTATTATATTATTCCATATACCCGGTTATTCCAGATACTGGTATCATTTTGACTTTATCTCAAAACAAAAAATTTTGTCAGTGCATGTTTTCCTCAGATAGATTGGCAGATTTTTTTTACATGACATTTACACATTTGCCCAGCTTTCCTACCACTTAAATACTAATACATAGCAAATGATTAAATCTTGATTTTTTAAAATAATATTTTCTGACACTATGACCCATTTATTATTTTCTGACACTATGAACCATTTAATATTTTCTGACATTATGATCCAATTAATATTTTCTGACACTATGGCAAATTTAATATTTCGTAAATAGGTTCACTTTTCTGATATACATCTAGTATGAAGTGAGACATCATTCTGTTCTCTGTATAGTTGTTACTCCTTCTTAAATAAACAATGAACATCAATTAATTATCACAGGAGATTCAGTCTGTGTTATCCTGAAAGATCAGCTTGATAAACCCCGCCTCCGGACTGAGGGGTGTGGCACAGAATGGACAGATGGCATGGAAACCTTGACAACCGTGTGGCACAGGAAGTTCCGACCAGTACCTGTAATATAATTCTTATTTAAATCAATACAAGCTATCATGAACTGAAGAGGAATAACTGGTGCATAGGGGATGTGCCAGAAATCACCAGAGAGATATTGTCGTAAGTTCAGAAGACTTGAAAGAAGTATGAAAAGATGAGGATTACACTTAAATACCTTCAATTAAAAAAAAGTGTGGAAGAAAAGCTTCCATTTAGTTAAGTAGCCAAATTTGAAGTTTTCCAGTTCTATATAAATTCAGCTTATAAACATAAGAAATCTGGCCGTTACCGGACTGTTTTCTCTGAAGCCATATGTCCACAGGGATTAAAACAGTGTGTGGGTGGATCCGAATCAGCATAAAAACTCAACTCGCATCCCATCTTCAGTTTGATAAAAGTTCCATCCTGCAAAATATAAACTGATGTTTTCACATACTTCAATGCAATATTTTCATAATTCCTTAATCCTTGAGATAAATAATTTTCTGTTTAATCTAAGACTGAATAACATTCAAATTTTCTACATCAACACGCGCCATCCAAATGTTATGAGACCAAAATATACTCTCTTTATACAAATAATACAATAAAGAGAACTACATGATCAGATCTAATGATTTTACCTTTAAACACAGTGGACAAGTCCGTGCAGTTTTATCGTCTTTCTGTCCCCACTGGTGTTGTCCGTGTACATGGCCACACTGTAGATACACATAGGGCTGTCTGTCTGCCAATCCCAGGGTTCCTTTCTTAGGCAGTACCAGGGTATTAAGGCCCACTGGACACTGGGGACGGCCAGCATTAATTGTCTCTACCAGGTCCTCAAATTCATGTTCACTCTGTAATGTGCATTTGTATTAATTAGATAATGCGACTACCCTTTTCTTGTAATAGCTTCATACTTAAAATAAGTTCAAATTAAATTTTTTTTTATTTTTTAACTTTCATACTAAAAAAAGATAATTTGTCAACAATGCATTGGGTACTTGCTATACTGACATTCACAATGCTTTGTTTAGAATGCCTACAATGTAAGTTTAATATCAAAAGGTTAAAGATGATTTCACTTCTTCTAACTTACCGGGGAAGAAATAAGTCCTAAAGCAGATCTCCAGAGTAAAGTAGCACCACACAAATCTATTAGTGTACCGTCTTGTAACACATTATCCTCATCCTTTATCTAAGAAAAAGAAAATTTACATATTTCATATCAATTAAAAAATTTACAACCCACTAAACATCCTTCTCAATGACACAGATGTACACATAAGTAAATCACTAGTGTGTGAGGGTGTGCGCGTTTGGGGTGGGGGAGAGAGACCCAGTCTGTGTAAGCAACCATCATATGACCCTTTTCAATTCAATGAAGAGTGCACTAACACCTATGCTACAAAGACAAGCCATTCAATTCTTCTTTATACCCTGAAAAAGGTCACCCTCACAGAGTTAAAAAAAATAATTTGTCATTGACATGATCAATTGATAAAGCTAGTTTTGCTATTCAATCTGGCAGTAATTTTAACTAATTGTGAATCACATACTGGTATGATGCCCTTTTCACATTCCTGGTAATTATACAAAATATCAGAAGTAAATTAGATGTTATTGTGTAACAACAACATGTACATTTTAAATCCTGCAGTGATAAAATACACTTACCTGGTTAGTTTTGAGAGGGGCAGACCTGGACTCTCGGAGGGGATAAATGGCACCTCCTACTGACACCTCCCTCCACACACCAGGTTTTCCAGGGGGATAAAAACCCTCCTGAGGTTTCATTATAAACACACCATTTGTTGTCAGTCCATCAATTTCTTCTCCCACATACCATTTCACAGCCTTTTCCTGGAAAAAATTGTAAAAGGATATTTCTAACTTACAATACAAGGAAACTGGTTTAAATTTTTTTTTTTTTCAGATTAAATTTGCAACATCGAATCACCTCCATACATGCACAATATGCTGTGTTTGACTTGCTTTCCAATACATGCATGATATGCTGTGTTTTACTTGCTTAATCAGCACTTTTAAAAACTGACTGTTAACTAGGAGTGAAACGGTTCACCGCAATATAGATTCACCGCGGTATTTTTTCTCGGTTTGATACACGGTGCAAAATCTCTAATTTTCGGTTCGGTTCATTTTTCGGTCGGGATCGTTATTCAGTCGGGTTTGGCATAAGGTAAAACACGTTACTTAATATAAATAAGTATAGAAAACTTAAATTTTTGATGACTGATAGCTTGTAAAATAATTTTTGACAGTCAAATAATTTTTATCAATTTCTTCTAGTCAATTTGCAAATAAAATTCGTAAAATATGTGACTAGTTTAGAAAAAGAAAGCATAAAAGAACGTTGAATTTGTTTCCTTCTATCAAAATGTATCGTATCGAAAATAACCGAACCGAGACAAAATTATACAATACGTATCGAACCGTGAAGGAGGTGTATCGTTTCACCCCTACTGTTAACAATCATTTACTTTCGAACTTTACCCCAAGAAATATATTTCTCCCTGAGTCAAAACCCGCAGCATAGATCCTGGCTGTATATGGTGGATTTCTATCAACCAGTATCCTACAGGCAAACCGCGATATTGTACTCTGGGTTATCCCATCATTCATGCTTCGCAAGTGACCTGGGATAGTATCCATGACAACAAAATCAATCGGGACCTCGGAGGATCTCCCAATCTGTAAAGAAGAAGAAGGTGGTGCGGCTACATGCATATATTGAGACACTATCAGCAATTTAATGCTGAAGTATGTAAAAAAAAATATCCACAGCACATCTATCAGTTTTTCACATAAACTCATACCTTCAAATGTACCAGGTAATTTCTGACATGGATAAGTTAAACATGATGTAATATGATTGTAGATTTGATTTCTAGGAACTAAATTCATAATTTCACACTGGAAATTGTCTGACACATTAACTTACTAAACACAGCCTCGGTTGTTTTTTCAACAAATTAAAGCTAAATAAAAACATTACAGCACCTATTTTTTTTGGGGGGGGGGGGGGTGGCTCTCTTTTTTTAACAAAAAGATGGCAAAAAATTTGATTGAAATTTTTTCTTTACCTGGAACATGTCTGTGTCATCATCTTGTTTGTACTCCACCACCACAGCTTGATTGCGGGACAGAGTGTAGGTCACGGAGTGAGAGTGGGGATCCTGCAGAGCCTAGAAAAATAACAGCAAGCTATTAGAGACAACTTTTTCTTCTTTCCTGAAAGAATCAGCACATTTAAAAATGTCGTCATATCCCTTCACTGGCCAATACTTTCTCTGAACAGAAATCTTGAATCTTTTATTATTATAAATACATTTTATACAAAGTTTAATCTTTTTACCTTCACATGTGTTGAAATATTAGCAAGATAACTTTTTCTTTAAAATTACACTTTATGGTTTTTTTGTGTGTGAAAAAGATCTGTTTTCTGCTCAATTAAAAAAAAAAAAATTCTCATCAATGGCAAAAGCTTTTTAAGTGTAAATAAATTTGGCTAGAAGCATTTATCAGGAATTAATAAATCTCCATATAATATCACTATCTGAAATTTACTATATATCTTTTTTTCTAATATGTTTAATGGTAGAGAATTGCAATTTCATATTCTGACAATTTCAGAGAAATTGGGCAGAAATGAATATGAACATGATGTCACCTATAATATACCTTAGCAGCTTGTGCATTTTTAACTACGTGTTTTCTGTACGGTTTGACTCCATTTCCTGAAGCCCTCTTGCCCAGGATAAATTTGCTCTTCTTCCTTCCTTTATCCCCACTCGGAAGATGACCATTATATCTACAACAGAAGCACTTAATCACTTAGGAAAATTAACTTCTCCGTTTTTGTTGTTAAGTATTGTGTGTGTTTTATTTCTTGAAGCTTAACAGTAAAATTTTGAAAACTAAAAATATGAAGTACTGGACAATACTCAGTATGTATACATATGACAAATTCTGATAAGTCAACCATAAATGCCCTTCTGAGTTTGTATTTTAATTTTTTTTTCATTTAAATAACAAGAAGTGCATGGGCCACAGTAACTTACCCAAGTCACATTCCCCTTCTGTTCTTAAATTTTTAAAAAAGTATTTCTTCCTATATATTCCCATGTCAAATTTTGACCCCTTTTGTGACCCCACCCTAGCCCCTAGAAGCCATGAATTAACCAATTTGAATCTATACTATGCACTCTCTGATGAAAAAAAAAATCACTTGAGCCTGTAGCTCAGTTGTGCTTATAAATTGTGATCGAGTTACATTTTTAAGAATTACAGCATCCACAAGTGTGCTGGTCTTTGAATTAAAGACACTAAAATTATCATTTCAAATAATACTCTGCAGAGTTCTAATATCAATATTGAAAAAGAAATCACAAATGTATGAATTCCTTGACCAAGTAATTTTACACTCTTTGATGTAAAGAAATGAAACAAGAGAGGACCATCATGCACCTTAATTAAAGCTCACTTAAGTGTCTCATAATAATTCCCTTTAATTTAATGCTGCTTTATGCTAAATTTGGTAAACTTATACTATATTGATGTAGTGAACAATGGTGAAATGACAAATTAAGACCATTAAAACGCACAAGCTTTAAAATATTGTTTTCATGTTTCCTGTCTTGTTAAATACCTTCACTTACCCGAGTATAATGAGTTCCCCATACTTTAAGGAACTTCTGTTCTGTTTTGTGGGACTGCTGTGCCCCAGAAGTGGTGAACTCTGGCAGCCACTTGGTGGTGGCTTGTGAGTAACTGGACCCTTATCTACCATCACACAATCCATGGAAATGTAATTCACATCTACAGAGACAAAACAAAGACCTATCAGGAACTGTATAATGTATTTTCAATGAGATACTTCATGCACAGGTTTATAATTATGAAAGGGCACTTTAAAGTTAAGCATGTCCTCTTAATGAGTGTCACACATACTACTGCTCTACTTGCTAGATTCACACCTATTCAACATTTTGCTATACATTTTTAAAGATTTAATACTAATGTTTGAAATATACATTTTTTTTCTTTCATCCTTGTAGTTATGTGGTACGTAACTCTCCTCTTTTCCCCATCTCTGTCAATTTTTATATTTGTTTTATAAGGCATTTGTTTTCAGAATATTGTGTCATGTGATCTTATTTTTGGCATTGAAGGAGGGGGAGACTATATATTGGGGTATAGAGTAGGCGGGGACTGTATATTGGGGTATAGAGTAGGGGGAGACTATATTTTTGGGTATAGAGATGTGCTGCTGTAGGAAGAAGAAATCAACATTTTATCTTTTTGAGTTCATGATCAAATATGGAAATCTGCTGGAAATATGTCATGTTAGGGATGCTTACAAAAATAGTCACTGGGAAAACACCTGCATTTTCCCATCTGCTGGTGCTACATGTATTTGCATGTTGGATGTCATTATCCTTGTTTAAACACATGCTTCTTACGATATTCTATTTTTTGATTTCCAGATAAAAAATATCAATACCCATTGTAATGAAAACAGTGGAAATATGGCACTGCAAATAATTCCTGCAATAAAAATGATAAATGAATAGGTTAAATAATTCAGAATCAGTACCAGTACATGTAGTATGTATGATTAGATAAGCACTTCAGTGATTTGAAAAACCTGAATGATGCATTGTCTCTGTTGCACACTAATCAAATTACTGTAAAATCACTTATTTTGGGGGCAAAATTTCATGTTTTGAGGGAAAAAAAATGGTTCATGGGGATTTGATTTTTTTGGTTTAAAAATATTCAGTTTACTAGAACTTTACTTGAGTGGGGGTCAGACAGGTTTGATCATACAGAGTCCAGGTAGATCAGTCGGTAGAGCACCTGACTAGTGATTCAGGGGGCTCAGGTTCAAATCCTAGTCTGGACTGTCTCACTTTTCTCCTTTCCTGTTATATGTGGTGCCGTGCTATGCCCTGGAAAAGACAGGTGAAAGACCTGTCAGGGAAGAGCCCAAGGTAGTGACTTTGGGGTCAAAGACATTTGGGGAGGAAGGAATGAGGATCAGGTGGGTTCATTCACTGGTGGCCTGGTGGTTCGGTTGGTGGAGCACCTGGCTGGTGATTCAGGGGGCCCAAGTTTTGCTCCTGGTCTGGTCCATCACATTTTTCTGCTTTTCTGTTACATTTGGTGCAGTGCCATGCCCTGGAAGCGACAGATGAAAGCCTGCCAGAGAAAAGCATCGGTTAGTGTCTCCGCAGTTCGAGAGGGGAAGGCCTTTAAGGAGGGAGGAATGTGGTGGTCAGACAGGTTCGATTGACTGTGCCCAGATAGACACAGTTTGTAGAACACCTGACTAGTGATTCAGGGGACCAGGGTTCAAATCCAGGTCTGGTTCATCACATTTTTCTCCTTCATCAGTTACATTTGGTGCCTTGCAATATGCCCTGGAATTGACAGAAGAGCACCTAAATAAGAGATTCTGGCAGGCTAGATTCTAACCCTGGTCTGATCCATCCCATTTTTCTCCTTTCCTGTCACACTTCCAATATTGGAAATGAATTTGTAGGTTTCTTCAGATTATGAAAATGATGAAAAGTAAGCCCCCACAAAAATTTGTGACTTCACATGGTAAATGCAAAGTAATTTCCTGGCTTTTAAGTTATTTAAGGTAAGTAACTAATGAAAGAAGAGTGAAACATCCCATCATGTTTAACTTTTTCACAGCAATTAAGACGCTAAATATTTTACAAAATGGTAATAAATAGGTTTTTGATATAACATTGCTAAAACACATAATAGGTATTTTGAAAACAGAATATTCTGTGATAATTGATTACACAATTATGTGATTGACATTGTCTACCTAGATACAGAGAGAACTAAAAGTAAATATCCCGGGTTTACGTCTTAACGCTCACTGTCACCTCAGTGTACACACTGATTGTAGTTCATTGTCCTGATCAATCTCATTTATCCCAGATGGAATGGTTAAGATGATCATCAATTTGCATTTCATTTTCATTACCTGGTTTTGTCGACTGTGTTTATAGTCCCTGTGTTTGTTACACCATTTCGTAATCTGCGTAACTTATCAGCACCAATTCATCACAACAGCCTTCAAATGTCAAGTTTTTGTTCATAACCAACATCATGTCGTTCACATTTACGCCGCTAGGTGCGCTGTGTGTATTTTTGTTTACTTCCGTTTTCGATTCACTTCCGATTGCATCTCATTTCTTCTTCATTGCAAAATACAACACAGAAAATCCTGAAAATGACGGACGAATGGAGTCTAGGGAACGCTGAATTGCTACAGCAGATAGGGACTTTAGTTTGGGCTGTAAATGACGACAAGGCGCCAAAAATGGTAGAGAATATGGCAGCCCTAAGAATCGGGTATGAACTGTACCAAAGATTGAGTGGTCAGAGAGATGTGGATGCATTACGCAATCAAACGATCTTGAATATCGCTAAGTTTGTCAAAGATCATCCAAAGGCATCAAAAGAAGAACTGACAAAAGAAATCTCTAAACAAATTTGGTTGTTCACTCAAAAACTTGAGCAAGTTTAAGCTCTTTTTAAAAATTTGTGTTGAACATGTTGTATACATTATATGATATGAAGTAGTGAACTTAATCCTCTGAGTAAAGAAATTACCTATTTATCATACACCACATGTAGTGTTTATCACAGAACTGGACTTCATTCCTCACAAGTCAGTGGAACTTTAGAACTGAGGTTTTGTGGAAAAAAAACTTTTGGGAAACAATTTTCCAACCATCCCAAACAATTGTTAGTGATGTGGACCATCATGCTGCAACTCTCAGGACAGAATTATTTATAACTACCGGTATAAGAAAAAAAGAACATAAAATTTGTCAGTTTTGTGCATGCAGTATTTCTATTATTTTGATAAAATGTATGCATGTGTGCTTATTTCATTTTATGCAAAAGAAATCAGTATCCTTACTATACATGTATGTATTTTATATAATTAACTTGATTTTGTCATTTAGATCTTAAAATATATGTAACAAATAAAGAGTCTTATCAAATTTCAATCATAGTTCTTGCTGAACATTTTCATTATAATGCTGCATCTATTTTTTAGCTCACCTGAGCTGAAAGCTCAAGTGAGCTTTTCTGATCACCCGTCGTCCGTCCGTCCGTCTGTAAACTTTTCACATTTTCAACTTCTTCTCAAGAACCACTGGGCCAAATTTAACCAAACTTGGTACAAAGTATCCTTGGGTGAAGGG